GCTAGACCCCCGAATCCTCAGGGTCTCCACCTGCACCCCACCCTGTCTGCACGCACACTGCATTCTTGTCCCTCCCGCTAGTCCCCCGCATCCTCTGGGTCTCCACCCGCACAGGGGGACCCTACAGGAAGCCTTTGGGAGCTGCGGCGGCTCTGGCCTGGGTGTGTCACTGAGGAGCACCCCTCTGCCCTGGCCCCAGACCAGACTGCCCTCCAATAGAAAGGATGCCACCTTCCCAGAACCCCTCACCCTCTGGAGCCCCTGCTGAACTGAATGGACTCACCGTCTGAATGCAGGAGGCAGACATGGGGCCCTCCCCGAAGCAGGCGTGGAGGCCCCTCCTCGGAGTGCCCAGGGGCCTGGCCCGAGGCCCAGCTCCATTCCTGCCCACTTCCTGGGTTTGCCTCCTGGGTCTCTCAGCTCCAGCCCAGGCCAGACTCTGGCCCTCAGAGGGCTCCAGGGAACGAGGCCTGAGCTGGGGAGATGGGTCCTGCGCCGAGAGAGGCGTTCCCGCAAATGCAATCCCCCCCTGAGGTGGATGAAGGAGGGCCCAAGTGACTCACTGCAGAAAGCCATGATGGTCCGTGAGCCTGCACAGCGAGAGCTCAGCATCTTCCCATGGGTCCCGTGGAGACCCTGCTGGGCCTGAAACAGAGAGGGCCTGTGGTGGGGGTTCTGTCAGAGCCAGGGGCATGGGTGACAGGAGGGAGCAGAATGGCTTCTCTTTCCCCTGCATCCTAGGGAGCCCAGGACCCGCTGAAAATGGCCCAGCAGGAGAGGCAGGACCTGTCTGCCCCATGGGAGCAGCCTGACAGCCTGACAGCCCCACCTGCTTCTCCCAGTGATGATCCCCGCCCGGCTTGCCCTGCTCCTACGGGCAACAATACCCACTTGGGTCTCATCTGCTGGACTCTCCTCTGGTCCCAGCCTGGGACATAACTGCTCTTGCTGTTGAGGATTCCCTTTGGGCCAGAGCTGCTCCTGCCTGCCTATGAGCCCCGCCTGGGCCTCCTGTGCACCTGCTGCCTAGGATCCCTGCCTGGGCCTCATCGGCTACTGACGACTAGGATCCCCGCCTGGGCCTCATCGGCTACTGACGACTAGGATCCCTGATGGACCCTCGCCTGCTACTGATGCCTCCCTCCCCCGGGTCTCACTTGTTCCTGACGACTCTGGGCCTTCTCTGGGCTGAACTCCCCCATCCTTGGCTCTGGTCCCCACCCCTGCAGTGGGTGCTCCTAGAGTTGATGGTTCCTCTCTGGGCCTCACCTGAGTGTAATTGGCTATGATGTTGGCCTGTTGCTAGGTCAGCGGGGTCTCTAGGTCCTCTTTCATGGTGCTGTAACCAAAAACATCCAAATGGGAGCTTGCATGAAAACCTCCAGAGAACAAAGGGGTCTGCTCCATGTGGGCAGATCCCAAGTCACTCTGAGCTGAGAGTGGAGAAAACCCTCTAGCTCCAGAGGGGCGAAGAGCTGGGCTGGCGGATCCCACGCGGGCACTCCCACTCCATGGCACTCTCACCCTCAGACTCCCTTCCCAGCCACTGTCCCCATGCATGCTGTCACGCTGAGTTGGCAGCATCTTTTACCCCGTTACCAGGAGCACACGGGGGTCCGGGAGTCTCTGGGAAACTGTTGACCTGATGCTTGGTGTGGCGTCCCCCAGCCCGGGGCCCGCAGCTCGAGGCTGGCTGGGAGGGCTGGCCATTGAATGCTCCTGCGGGCTTAGGCGGGCAATTGTATGTGTCTCTGAGCTCTCACAAGCACACACAATAAAAGGGAAAAAGCAATGAGTGGACGTCATCCACATGAACAACTTTGGCAGCAAGAGTGTGAGCAAACTCCCCACCCTGATTGCAAGGATTGTGAATGGCCCGAGGAGGGGTGAAGGGGAGAGCAGGAGGGGCTTCGTCGTCCCTGCCCGGGAGGAGCATGCTGGCTCCTGGCCCAGGAGGCTAGGACCCG